AGGTTGAGCCTTTCATGTGATGCGGTGCCACGAGGCGACGAATGCACTCTCCTCGGTTAATCACACAGCGACTCTTGCGACCACCGATTCCGCGGGTTTGCTACAAGGCCTAGAGCTGATCGAAGACCATAGCACGAGAGGGGTATTCAAATCGAGGACGAGGACGGTACGTTTCCGACTGGGGCCAGGCAGTGGAGCAAGACACAGGGGCTACACGCGCTTTCGCGCGCACTTCTTCTCGGCCCGTCACGCAGCACATTGCCGACACGTGCTGCGGAACGGGGCGGCGCGTGGCGGTCGAGGATCGCCTGCCGCGTGACGAGGAGGGGGGTGGACATCAGACAGGTATCTCTTACTGGTTTTCTGGACGCTGTTGCTAGCAAGGGGTTGGGAGATGAGGAGGAGCAGGGCCTATCGACGCAGGATCAGCAGCAGAGACCACCAGCGATCGACGCGGGCACGAGGGAGGCGGGAGCTCGTCAGAGCGTCAGCAGGCGCTGGTGCCTACGATCTCGTCGACAGCTACACGAGGCCAATCGCTCGTGGCCGGCACTATACCAAGCATCATGCCATGTACCTCGGCGGGAGCTTCATCGCTGCGCTTTCGCCCGTGCCTGAACCGCTGAAGAGGCAGCGCGCACTACGCGTGAGGCCTTTCTTACCTGGGCAAGTTCTGGTATGTTGATGACTGCAGCTTGGAGACAGAACGCCCACCCGATCAAGGGAACACTGCTCCGCGCAGCTCTTTCCAGGGCGGAGGCGCGGGCGAAAGGCACAGGCCCCCCGGCGCCTCGCGGTCGCGCGGGGATCGAGGGGTTCCTCGCCACCGAAATGTGGGGCAGTGCCCGAGGGGACATGCGCACGGGACGAGGGAGGAAGAGCACACCGACCGCCAGATCGCGATGTGCTGCGAAAGCTTGGGGTCGGGCCTTCGTCTCCGGAGCTCCGAGCTATGCGGCAACGGCGGTGCCAGACGACGTCCAGGACCAGGGGGTGTCATGGGCAGCTCTGGGCAGCTACGATAGGAGTCACGGCGGCGGCCGGGGGGGGCGTTGGAGGAGGGGGGGGTCGTCAGAGGGCATCCTCGGGCAGTCCAGATGCAGCGAGATTTCGACGCTCTCGGCGCTGTTGAGCCAGGAGGAGGCCTGCTCGCGGAGGCAGAGGTTCGTCTTGGTCGAATATCGTTCGACCTGGGAGAAGATTTCCAGGCAATCGATGTCAAGCAATTGCGCACAGCTGTTCTTCGCCAGCCTCCTGCCGCCACCAGCGCGGTCACACCGTCCGACGAGACGGGAGGTTTCACGCGCAATGAGTCGTTGCCAGACGGCTCGCAATGTCTTGCCAGATGGCCAACGTGGGAACAGCTCATCGCACATATCGCTTCGACCTCTGGGGCAACGCATGGGAAACTACGCATCGCTCGCAGATGCACCATTACTAATCAGTGTGCGATTTGCTCCAGCGTGTTTCGAGATCGCACGGTGGCATCCCCGCATGCGAAGCGAAGTTTAGCAAGACAGGTCTGCCCTTGCAGTCGTGGTAGGTTCGAAAGCGCGGCGCAAGATGCATATGCTCGCAAGAGCCGCGTTTGCCTTGAGGAATCCGACACGGCCGCATTGTTGACCGAGCATCGTTTCTCGCACTTACCACCGCATCTCGCACCGCATTGTCCTATCAAGGCGCATGGAGGTCGCGGCGGACTCAGCTGGGCTGGCGAGACCTTGCAGCGAGAGCTTCGCGGCCGTATCAGAGCAGCAGGGGAAGAAGCTGAATGGGGATCTGGACAAGGAAATGTCGGAGAAGCAGGTGGAGCACGGCGGCAGCATCAATACTGTTCGAGACATGCTCATCACACAGTTCGAGACGCGCGCGAAGACCCTAGAACAGGCGAGCTACATAACAGCGCTCATAAACGGGGAACCACAACGTGATCGAGGCAATGTCGAACAACTTCCAAGATTTTCTCAAGGAAGGGAAATCATCCCAGACAATGACCAGCCCCACGTGCCATGACCTACTCGCAAGCTATAGAGAGCTCGTCGCCTGCGGACTTGTCAGCCAGGGCCCAGTCTGGCAAGGAGGCGCGCAAGCGGCTCCAGCTGACGATGGTGAAGTCGACACTGTCCCAGGATTCCTGCTAGATCAAAGACGTCGATGGCGCCCGCGTTCGACCGTCCAGGCCAAAGCAGCCACATCGCAGCGCGCCGTCGCTCCGAGGCAGTAGTCTTCTTCTTCCTCGAGGGAGTGCCGCGGCAGAGGTGCTGCTGGAGGAGCTCGAGGGGGCGCGGGAGGTGGGGGGGGGGGGATCGCGGCAGAGGCGCAGCTCGGCCCTCTCGACGTGCCCCCAACGAGACGAGTCTCACGCCAGGGGCGCGGGCTGCGCAGCTCGGGCGCACGCGCGGCACACAGCCGCGCCCCGAGGGGCCGCGCGGCCAGCAGGCGGCCCGCGCGGCGGGGAGGAGCCCAAAAGGCAAAGGGGGGCGCAAGCTCTCCTCGGCCG